AGGCAGGTCAGTAACTACCTAACTACCATTACAACAAACACACACACACACACAGGCTCACTTCCTGACAGCAACAGCTCAGATTAGTATCTTAATCCTCAACCAGAGTCGGCACACAGCAGCACCTGCTGCATCCTGTTGTAAGTCTCAACAGCTCAGGGGAGCGATTACAGAAACAAAACTTTACTGAGAGTTTCAGCTGCCTCACACCTGGGCTGTTTCAGGCTGTGAAAATTTGGTGAACACACGGCCAGGTGCCTGATTTAAACTTTTTAATCTCCGAGATCCTTTAGAGGGTCACAGATATCATGATGATACTAAACACGTCAGGCTGGATGAAAGGGAATAGTCTGTAATAAGAGTTTCCTTCAAAATTTGCTAAGGGAAGACACGAGGAAGGTAATAGTGGATATGGTGCTGTATTTTTTGTTGTCTAACTGGGGCAATTCTGTTGGCAAAGTCAAACTTTAGATAGAAATTAAATGATTTTTTCCTCAAGACCTTTTTTAAAGTAGGCTAACCTGATTTTATTGCCACTAAAAGTAAAGAAAAAAGTGTATAATTCAACTATGTGACAGGCAATTTTCTTGTAATCCTTCATTCCAATATCTTTGCTGTTGTAACTGTAACCTAGGTTACCACAAAGTCACACCAATGTCCACTTGCTGCCTCATTGTAGTGACTGAAACATCTGCAATTCAAATGTCTAAATGATCTCTCAAAGCCAACCACTGATGAATGCTTCTGTCACCCCCTGCAGGAGACTGTCAGCAGCCTGAACACGGACTCTGAGGTAAGCATGTGGACGATGAAACGGCCGTCAAGTCTCATCCCAGGTTGAGGTTAATGCTAATCGTGATAGGGGTTGTTCATTGGCAGACACCTAACATGTTAGCATTAGCTTCACTTTGGGAGATAACCACCAACGGCTGCGTCCGACACTGCCACCTGTGGTGCTGGTACACTGGGAGGAAGAAGTCATGATGCAGCTGATGGAATATGAGGCAGAAACAGACACAGAGTGAAACATGTATGGACTAACACGTACAAAAGACTGTGAAGATGTCAAGGTGCTGCAGTCTAGAGTGTTTTAGGAGAGGGACAAGTGTGCAAGCTGAAGATTTCTTGAAGATTTAAGCATTAAAAAAAGAGAAATAAACAGTTTATTTGGAGCCTAAGGTGCCCAGACCTCCTCATCGCCCTTCTTTGAGCGTATCTTTGAGTCTTATTTGGTGCAACATGATTTAAAATGTAAACCCACATAGGTACAGCAGATATTTTGGCTGATCAGACCTCCTCGTAGGTGTGTGCAGATGGACTTTTCCCTGCCTCCGTTATGATTGGATTGAGAATATAGTTCAAATTTACAGCAGTTCTGCTCACGTCCGCACCTTTTTTTGGACATATATCATGGCATTAAGGAACATCTTATGGTGTTACACTGTGTAGACGTAGAAGTAGAAGTATTAAGTGTTTCTTTGATGGGTTAAAAAAATGTATGCTTCAAAATCTAGGTAACCATGATGTGACAACAAACGCATCATCACAACAAAGACCTTTTTAATAACTCATAAAATCCTCATGTTTGGGGGATATGCGGCTCTCACAGTTGTATTTTGAGTTGAAGGGGATTTTCACTGTAATATCTGGTGGTTCAGATTGTGTAATAGATAGTAATCTGCCTTCCTTTGTGCTTAATTTATCTATTGTGAGTAATTAGCTCCAGCAGAGATAACTGTATCTGCAACTGCGGCGATTACAGACACAGAAGGAAAAACAAAAATGTCAATCACAGTTCAACAAGTGAAAAAAGAAATTCATTGTTACACCCAGAACATACCGAGCTTTGTTTTATGATTTGATTCACCTTTCACCACCTGTTTCACCTTTTGCTGTGTTCAGACAAGAGGTGAATTTATGCCGTTCCACTGACTCCTGAATTTGTGTTTTGTTTGGACTCTCCTTGTAAATGTATGTTGGCTGCTGAATGCATGACGAGAAAATAAAATCAGAAATAAACACCCGAAGTTTGTTTGGTGTGACCTGTATAATTTTGTGTTTACATGAGGAAAAAAAATCTGTTTTCTTCTGTGTAGTCGACATCAAGATGTCAGGTTTAAATGAATTATACATATGAAAAGATGTTGCCAGCACTTTGAACACAGTCAGTTTCCAACAGAGGCGTAGACATCTCTGAGCAGTTTAGCCATCGTTTGTGGCTCTTTAGTCTCGGTGACACACGTCCTGTACAGTCTGTTAAACCGCTTTGTCATTAGTGCAGATCCTCTGAAAAGGAGGGGAACACAGCTTGATGAAGTATTCACAGAATTTCACCCCACCCCTCCATCTAATGATGATATTGATCCACAAGACAACAAAACAGGAGGATTTCCCAAACTCGTGTGGTCGCCGTTTCTTTATTTGAGGAGTTTACTCACTGTTTAGTGGTAGATGAACATCTTTATGTCCTCATTTAAAGTCTGTCTTTATTCTGGGCAGAGTGGGTTCATTTAAGGTGACTACTGAGTCATAGCTCTTCTTTCTGTTTGTCACCACATCAATGTTTCCTCCCAAACAGGGGGAAACCACAAAATGCACCATCAATCACAGCTGTATTCTCTTGTCCTGAGCTCCCTCATGGGCCATGTCACTGACAATTAAAACTCTGAGTTGAAAATTAAAGTAGTACTAAACTTGCTCAGTATTTAACTGTTGTGTGTAAACAGTACAGTAGCCACAATTTTAACAATTCACAACCAGTAACAACCAGTGGGTTCCCCGGGTCAGGGTCGCTCAACGGGCCCAGTTTTAGAAACAATAGAGTATTAAATATCTGGCAAAATGTACAAATATACAAGATATAAGTGTTTTCTAGGAACAGAGGCAAAAACCAGTGCCTAACAGAGTAACAATGGGAGTACAAAAGTACAAGGGCTACTAAAAGGGAACTAAAATGGTGGAAAAAACAGACTGCGCCTGATAATCAATGTTATATTGAATATGATATAACAGTAAGAAGTAGTTTATTTTATTTTATTTAACCAGGAAGTCCCATTAAGATTGAAAATCTTTTACAGTAGAGACCTGGCCGAGGTAGCAGCCAATTAAAACACTTTAAAATGCAACAAATACAACAGATAACACAAAAATCCACAATAAAAAAACACTATTCAAACATAGTGGCCTCTCAAGAAAAACAAGCACATGTCTCTGTCACCGCATTCTTTACGATGCCGTTCAATTCATCAATGGATATAAGTGTTTCTAATTTTAGATCTTTGTGAAGATTGTTCCATGTCCAAGGTGCAGCGTAGGAGAATGCAGTGAATAACACAAACAAAAGCAAACGAATGTAGGTTTCCTGGACACAAAAGCTTATTCAGAACACAAATCACTGTTTTTCCCCACGAAAAATCCCCTATCATAAACTTCCAGTCATGATGAGTCAATTTTAATTCATGTAAATCATTAAATAGTCTCAAGGGCTTTATAGTGTTTAATTCAGGTGAGGGAAAAATCATTAAATCTTTTAACAAGAAATCAAAGCTGTTACCTGCATATAAAATAGTTGATATGATAAATTAAATATCACACACATCCTGCACAAAGCTGTACAGCTGTCTCACTATGTCACAGCTATGTTGTACATATTTGTCATGTTATTATGTTAGTATCTTTATCATATTTATTTTGTACTTCTTCTATTCTATATTTATGTTCTTGACTGTTGGAGTACATTGTCTATATTTTTATTTTGTCTTGACACTTTCCCCGCCAGAGTGTTATCTTTAAGTCTCCAGCCACCGCCAGTATTTTTGATCATATTCACCAGTCTTCAAAGGCCCACAGAATAATTTGTTCTGTGAATATGTAAACAGTGTATGCATGAAAGTAGAGAACAGAACTTCTGTTTTTATACACAGAAAATATTTTTATTCTATCTTATTCCATTCCATTCTTTTTTTAATCAACTCTTGAATTTGTGCATTTTCATAAAAACAAAAAAAAAAAACAAAAGAAAAACAAAAAGCTGAGAAAAATACATTTTTCTCAAAGACTGTCATTTTCAATTATAAAATCAATTTCAAATTTAATTTTTTTTTTTTTTTTATTTCTTTATGTCAGTTTTAATTGTATAGATGAAAAATAATAATACTGTAAATAAAAATTATATTCTCTTTTAGCTGTGGCGGCACACGTTGCCATGTTCAGTGATCGTTCAGCGTTCTGTTGTCTCCCTCTCCGTGAGTCACTGTCACCGTCGTGGTCATCCCATTTTGTTGTTTGCTTCTTCGTCTGAATCGCATTCAGAATGTTGATCAAAACAGGAATTATCAGAGTCTGAGTCCATCAACATTTCCGTTGGCGCCGTCATTTTTGTGTGGTTTACAAGGGACTATATTGCTATAAACATCTTCCTCTGGTTTCCAACAGATCTTCTTCTTCATTTGTTTGTGGAGAAGGTGTGTAACAGCGCCCCCTATTTTAAAACAGTGAAAACACGGATTGCTGGACTATCTCCTCAATGGCGGAGATAGAGTTAATATGATTATTGTATAGTTAATGTATGCATGTAGGCTAAAACAAATTCTTTGTAAGTGAAAACCTGCTTGGTAATAAATCTTATTCTGATGAGAACTTAGAAAAAATAAGGAAAAATAGGAAAAATAAGTGTTTTTTTTTTCTCTGCAAAATTTATTTTTAAAAGGTGTTGAGAGGGTAAAACCAATCTTTTATCACTTCCACCAAAGAAATAAAACGGTTAATTGATCTTTGTATTAATCTCAGTATCTTAATGTGAAAAAAAAAAACACAGTGTGCCAACCAGCCCCGGTCTCCCCTACGCATGTTCCAGTGTACATGGGCGGACCGGTCAGTCAGCTGATGACTGAAATACTCCTCACAATCTCTGTCCTCAATACACGGGTTTCGTCACACGGATGATTTTCTAGCCAATTACGCACAATGTGGAAGATCTCATTGAACCGCAGGAGGAAGAGTCGCAACTTGGTGTTGGGGTTTCAGTCAGGGATGTGTCCTGTGCGCGCACCTGGAGCCGCCGGAGACATGCAGAGGGAACACATTTTAGCCTGTTTCTACTCTGTTTTATGATACTGAGCCGCTGTGGACCTGAGATTGATTCCTGTGATGGGGAGAATCACATGGAGCTGCGGTGCCGTGACCCTGCTGGCCATCATTAGCTCATGTCGTGCCGTCACTCTGGAGTCCATCCACTGGAGCAGCTCCAACACAAAGTAAGTGGAGGAAGCAGGTTCACACTTGAGATGTGGTGCAACTTTCTGCTGCTGCTGCTGTTGCTGCTGCCGCCTTGTCCTTTGTAGTGTGACCTAATTGATTAAGTTGAGATTTAACCACGTCACTGCAAATCATGCCATCACAGCTTTGAGCAGCTAACACAATTAACTGATTAATCACAGACAATTAATCGTCAGCAGTTTTGATAACACATTAATAGGTTTAACTCATGTTTGAGGCAGAAATGCCAAATATTTTCTGGTTGCAGCTCCTCCAGTCTGAGGTTTTTTATCATGATTAAATTGAATATGGCATCAGAGATTCCTCAAGTTCAAGATGTTGTCTTCAAAGTACTTATTTTGTTTGACAAACACTCCATAACCCACATTTATTTAGTTTACTGTCAAGACAAAAGCTAAACTGAGAGGATTTGGGGAAATTTTGCTTGAAAAATCACTCAAATTATTCCTATTTTTTTTCCTGTTGATTGACTGACCAATTAATCAACAAATCATTTCAGTTTTAAAGTTGAACATATTTGGATTTTGGCCTGTTTATTAAACATGTAAAGATGTCACCTCAGGCTGTTTTTTGTATTTTCATTATATTGAAGGGAGGTTTTAGAGCATTAACATCCAAAGGATCTGGTTGCAAAGCTCAAATGCTCCCATAGCCGTAGATTTTGGGGCAACACATTCTCACTCCGACCTCGTCACATATTGACATTTGGTCGTGGACTTTCCACGTCCAGGTACGAATACAAGGTACCCTGGGTGCATTGGTTGGTCAAGTTCTGCCTGTTACATGCATTGTTTTCTTTCAAAATACACTTCTGATTTCACAGGAAATTTAACATTAGCATACTGTCTCTTTCAAAATAAACGCACTATGTTGCTACAACACAGCGAATTGACGTTTTTTGTTTCGTTCAACAACAAAAACACATGGTTGGGTTTAGGAAAAAAGAACAGGGTTTGGCTTTAGAATCTTTCGTGCTACAAACGCCACTCTCTCGGGTGAAAGTCGATGTTTGTTGGTCCCATCCACCACCCCTCCCGCCTGCCCCATTCGGACTTTCGCCACCTTAACTTTCGTCCTTGTCCTGCTGCGTTTCCCCCTGACTCCACCGGGCGCCATTAAACTATAACAGCCACTTGCCGCGTATCATGCCGACGTTAACAAACACCTCTTTTTGTTGGTTTCTGACACTGCAAGTCAATGCCCAATTGCTGGACTTTGACTTCGGAGTGAGACTAGGCTCTTTGGGGGGAAGCAGTAGACAAAAAAAAAACATGAAAGTAGTAAAGGACTTTTATTTTGACGAAATTAGAGATGTTTCCTCCTTAGAATGATGCCAAAAAGGCACAAAATAGTGTGTAAAAACGTAGTAGAATGCAGGAAGTTAAGTGTCTGATGCTCAAAATTTTCAGGCAGAGGACGCCCCAAATGTCATATGTCCCCCCCCCCAACGTTGAAGCAAAACTTACGCCCTTGTATGTTTCTGTTGATTAGACAGTTGTTTGTTTGTGATTCACTTTGTGCTCCAAACAGAGAAACAAACAATGATGCTTTACTCTGCATTATTTCTTACCCTCTTATCTCACACACAGATTTAGTCCAGGTCAGGGTCTGATCCTGTACCCTCAGATCGGAGACAAGATGGACATTGTGTGTCCCCGGGCAGATGCTTCCTTGGGGGAAAAGGAGGAGTTCTACCGAGTGTACCTGGTCTCCAGAAGTCAGATGGAGACCTGCACCATTGACAAGACCGACACGCCCCTGCTGAACTGTGACAAGCCCCACCGGGATGTAAAGTTCACCTTCAAGTTCCAGGAGTTCAGCCCCAACCTGTGGGGTCTGGAGTTCCTCAAGGGGAGGGACTATTACATCACCTGTGAGTCACTGCGCGCAACCTCACGCCTCATGTTCAGCTCAGACGTGATAATCTGGAGTGAGTCACGGTGCATATGAGCACTTTAAAATCAGTAGTACGGAGACACAAGCTGCTGGTCCCTACAGGTGGATGTGAATCAATGCTAGCAACTGTTTCTTTCTTCTCGTGGGAGAAGAGGAAGCCGTCACCCACGGCTCCCTCTCAGTTTGTCAGTTTGCGTGAGACTCAAAAAAACGTGGCCTCGTTATTGGGCCACTGTCGGTTGAACCAGCATCTTAGTGGCAAGCGATGCATGAGATAGAGAGCAAGTCTGACCATGTAGTGTCATCCGCCTCGCCACGCTCTGACAGCACACTTCGCTCTGGCAGGCCAGTGTGATTCCAAGGGCTTACATGCCCCAAATCACACAAGGCTTTTACAGCATCAGGCAGATTTGATGGGAGCTTTCATGGCAACGTGGCTTGTAGACTGTGAGATGTTGTTATCTGACCTAAATGCTGCTAACAAGTCTATATGTGTGTGTGTGGGAGTGACGGGGTGAGCAAGAGTTCTTGGTGTGTGTGTTTGTGTGTTAATATATCAGTAATTTTCTATGTTAGTTAAGATAAAAACTTATTTATTCACTTTGTCCACCACTTTTTGCATCTCAAGCCGAGACTACACGTCAGCAGCTAGAAAATAATTAACTATTCTGATAATTGATTAAGACTTTAAGTAATTTATCATGGAAAAGTGCTGAACATTTTCTGCTTCCAGCTTCTTGTACTGAGGATTTGCTGCTCTTGTTTATGAGATAACAAACCAAAATATCTTTTTTTATTTTAGACTGTTATTCATGCAAAACAAGCAAAATGAAAATGTCACATAGAAATTTGTGATGTGCATTTTCACACTGATTTCCGACATTTTATTCAATCCAAATTTATTTAAAAAGCACATTTAAAAGCAGGAACCTTCCTGCTGTGAGGCAACAATTCTTACCACTGCGGCACCGTGCCGCAAGAGGGTTCCTGGTGCAAGAACCCTTCTTTGCGGAGTTTGCATGTTCTCCCTGTGTCAGCGTGGGTTTTCTCGAGGTACTCCAGCTTCCTCCCACAGTCCAAAGACATGTACGTTGTAATCGGTGACTCTAAATTGGCCGTAGGTGTGAATGTGACTGTGAATGGTTGTCTGTCTCTATGTGTCAGCCCTGTGTTAGTCTGGCGACGTGTCCAGGGTGTACCCCGCCTCTTGCCCAATGTCAGCTGGGATAGGCTCCAGCTCCCCCGCAACCCCTAACAGGATAAGAGATTATGGAAAATGAATGAATGAATTTAAAAAACAACCACAGCTGGCCAAAGTGCTGTACAATCAAAAAAATAAGCAACACAGGAAAACACAAAGACGATAACTAAGAAGATTTCCCTTTATTATCAGAAAAAAATCTGACATTTGCCGTGCGTCACAGGATGTTAACTGTTATTCATAAATAAACATACATAAAAAATACAAAATAACATTAACCAAACAACAGGACGATACTGCAAACGCTTCAAGTCACTTGAGGCATTACAAAAAGTGAACGTGGTGCAACAGATGAATCATCCTTTAACATTCATACACCAAACAAATGTATCAGCATTTGGTGCAGCCCCGGTTAAACCACATGGGGTTTGTGGTTTTTTATTTACACTTGTGATCATCTATATACTTTATGTAACATCACAGTGTGTCTGCATTTTCCTATGTGATGCAACGCTCGGTAACTGGCTCAACCGTCTGCGAAGAAATCATAATGTATAATTGCATCGCTTGATAATCTTGTATTGTGATGATCTAATGAAACATAAATGCTAAACAATACTTGTTTAATAATATTTGCCTCATCTTCCTCTGTGTGTGTGTGTGTGTGTGTGTGCGTATGTCAGCCACCTCTGCAGGCTCTCTGCAGGGTCTGGATAATACTAATGGAGGGGTGTGTAAAACCAAATCCATGAAGCTGGTGCTGAGAGTCGGCCAGAGTAAGTATTTTGTGTGTGTGTGTGTGTGTGTGTGTGTGTGTGTGTGTGTGTGTGTGTGTGTGTGTGTGTGTCTGTGTGTGTGTGCCAGCGTGTGTGTGACTCAAAAGGACACACAGATACCTGACAAACAATGCTAAAGTGACAAAAACAGTTGTCTCACTCTGGTTATTATAACATCACCTCCTCTGTGGAGTTATTAAGCGGTCAGATAATCTCGATCATCTATTCATTCTCTTGACGAGAGATCGCCGTCATGAATTATCTCTAGTCCTTAATTCGAACCGCTGGCAGCTTAAGGCCGTCTGTATTATCCTGCATGCGATCACTCGGACCGGCTGTGGCAGTCAATAATCTTTCCCCCTGTATTAACATCAGAATAGCGGATGATTCTTTTTGTGCTCTCGTAATATACATTAAAATTTAATAAAGCAGATTCTGAACGTATTCACTGCCATTACTTTAAACGTCCTGAGGATAAATCACTCTGTAATACCCACACAGAAACATATTGTTTTTTGCATATCTTTACATATCAGGATAACATCACAGTGGTGTTATTCATCTTTTTATTAGGCAATTAAATGTATATGTGAAGACACATTACAGTGAGCTTGTTTATACATATGTTGCTGCGCTGTGCTGCTGCTTAAAACTTAAAAAGCTAAATCTGTTAAAGCCCCAAATTTTATTTTTTGACCCCAGGAATGTGAAGTATTATTCATATAAATTATTCAAGGATTCGAGATGAAAAATAAGCATTTTGTGTGTTGCTCGTCTGATCAAAACTGGAGATACGGGGGCTGTTTTCCTGCTGTGTTTACAAACCGCCACTGATGTAAACAAACCTTTTAAACAGCAACGGGAAACATTAATAACTCAGATTTAGTTGTAATCTCGTGTTAATCTCTACATATATTAAAATTCATGCGGCTCCCGGTCTTGTGTTTAGATCTTTGCTGGTGTCGCAACCCTTCTGTTTAGATTTGGATTTGTGGATTTTGCCTTTTAAACTAAAAAACAAATCTAATCATGTTGGTGTGAGTAAAACACTGAGGATTAAAGAATGCAATGAAACAAAATCTGAACTTAAAAGAGTGCAGTTGAAAGTAAGATGGCTCACTGGTGAACACTTTAACTGATGAATCAATAAATTTAATTAAACAAGTTAGAAAAAACCCCTGAATGAAATCTTAGGGGATATAAACTGATTTTATTTTATCCGTAGTTCACTTAAAGGCCACATTTCTCAGTTGTTTTGGTTGCTCAGTGCCATTTGCACACTGTGGATAGCATTTATTCATGCTGTTAAATGAATCTCAGCAGTTATTCTGTCATTTGTGAAGTGTTGTTCTTGTAGCTTTTAGGCCTCTGTATTTTTCATCGAAACTCTCACCTGACTCTGCTTTAAATATTGCACTTCCTTAAAGATTAGGCACGTGTGAAAGTTTTATTGGTGGACGAAGAATTCAAATCTTTCAGAAAGTAAAAGTACCAATAAAGCAATTTAAGAATGCTCCATTACAAGTTAAAGTCCTGCATTTAAAATATTCTGCTAAAGTACAGAAGTATCAGGAAAACATAAATAGGCTACTTTTGTCCCACTGACTGACATGTTATCATCACATTATTAGATTGTTAGAGGTATACTATGCCGGATTTCACTATGAAACAAAGTACAGACTCTTACAGAAGTAATAAGGGAACTACTCTCTATTAGCTGCAGCTATCAAATGTATCACTATTCGCTGGCTGGACCCAAACTCTCCTACTCATCAGTGGCGGGTGCTCGTCTTTCAAACAGGGGAAGCTCACTTTAAGTTTACATCATAAATTTGTCATATTGTAGCGAGGCAGTAACTTATAAAAGGAACAGTTAATTGAAGCCGCTTTCAGCCACACTCATGCCATAGAACCACAGCAAAACACACGTCAAAGATTTTCCGATGGGTTTAACTGTCAAAATGAACTATATCGCTTATGGAGATAAGCAACTCTGTCAGAAGACTCCACTCACCGATGCCGGTGTGTATTTCCAAAGTGCTGTCAATCACAAAGGAGTTCAGCCTTTTAGACAATTCCTCCAATCATCATGCATACACCGAGCGTCCTCTCCTGCCTACCGCTCCATTAGATCCCAGGGAAGCTGAGCCTCCCTGGAAGTGACGATTTGTTGCATTTATCCAATGACCGTCTCGCTTTGCTGCATGAAAAAAACCTGCTCAGCGCTGTCTCATAGGAATGCTTGGAGGCTCCGCGTCCACCGTGCTAACAGGAGAATGTGACAGGGAGGTCGCGTTTGAAACCTGCTGATAAACAGCTGACGTTTGAACATCATAGTCATGATGTTAAACGCATCCTAGCGTGCGTTTAATGCAATGTAAATTCTTATTTTAATGTAAATTCAATAGTGCATATTTGACCATTTCTTCTATGAAATTTTAGGGGAAGTTCAGCCTCCCTTGTTGTCTCAGGGCAATCGCCCCTGGTACTCATGGAAATTCTATGGAAAATGTACTGTTGGAAAAGATCACACATTACTTACACGTGCAGAAAGTAACATTCGATTAAAGATGGCAACCTGTTACGAGTATAGTTATGCCCAATCCTTTTTAATTATTGATCCACATACCCTGTTTTATCTATCATTTTAGTTTCCCTTTTGATTTAGCATCATTATTTATTATTATTTGCCTCTATTATTTATTTTACTTTCACTTTTTTCCAACCATGAAGTGCAAGTAGATAATGTGAGCCGAATGTGGATGTGGCGAGTGGCACCAACGTACCCAGGGTACTTCGCACGTTGTATGTTGACGTGGAAAGTCCATGACCAAACGTCAATATGTGACGAGGTTATAGTGAGAATGTGTTGGAAATACAATAAGGCGGCCCAACCACACACAGTTTTGTTTTTCTTTTGTTTTTTTTCTGTAAGTGGTCACAAGCTTCAAAGGTTGGTGTGTGTTTGATCAGCTTAGTATATTTTATATTATTGAAAAACATTAAATCCATGTAGTGGAGTAAAAATCATGATATTTTCCTCTGAAATATTGTGAAGTTGAGGTATGAAGTGGCACAAAATGAACGTTTCTGTCGCTCGATCTTTTTTTTCTCCAGAGCGACAGGGGACAATATACAACTGTCACTTTAGTGGAGTTTCCCTTTACGCTTGTGATTCCCTTAATTTCCCAAAATTCCTGTTGGGAAAATCCCCAGAGGAGAATTTGAATTGGCTGAATTCAGTTGGTGATGTGTGGGTGGAGAAGGTGAAAGTGTTAGTGATAGTTTTTCCCGACAGAAACGAGAGTCCCAGTGGTGACTCAGAACGCAGCTTCTTGTGGTCTGGTTAGGTTAGAAAATGGTTTCTCTCCTCCTTCTTCTGCAGTTTGTTTTTAGATGACTGTCAGTGCAAAAATAATCGGTTAAAGAAAAACCTCTTCCTGCTTTGATTGTGACACCAAACACTAACGATTCACAAGACAAAATTAGGAACAATTCGACATGACGTAAACTCACTTACACAGAAATGCAAAAACACATGCAGCGAAAATGAGAAGATGTGAAGTTTGGTGCTTGTAGACGTTTTGGTATTATTTTAAGCTGTCCTTTTTTATTTTCCAGACTCTTCAGATCCACCTTCAACCCTCCAGGAGTCCCCCACCAGATTCCCACCCACACGACCAAAGTCCAAGGACCCCTCTGCAAAGGAAAAGGATATAACAGGCAAAACTGGTACAAACACAAAGCAAAAATATTGTCTGGAAAATATGTACAGATGTACTGCTAATGTTGACACACATGTGATCTGTGTTGTGTTTTAATTTAAGGGTCCATAATTATATTTTTGAGTGTTTTAGCCTGTTAGCCACATAATATATTTAGGAAGGATGATGCTGGTGATGTTCTCGTTACAAAAACAACAATGTTAGTTTATCTTCAGTCAACTTTCCTACATTGTCTCTAAACCCAACCGAAGATGTAAATCTTGAAAAGAAGGTCGAAAAGAGATGCTCTAATTTTTTTTAATGATAAGGCACTGTAGTTTTTAGTAATGGTTACCCAAACAGGAGTCTATATTGTATTTTTAGGGCCTATTTTCAGCCACAAATTTGGTTCTGAATGAGTATTTCCTGTATACACGGGATTGACTCAAAGTAAATCTACATTGCCCATGAAATCATGCAAACGGAGAGGCTCAGTAATATATTTTTAAATGTTTTTGGGCAGCAGTAGAGCTCTGTAAGGCTATATCGGACTTTGGATACTCGGACAGTACTTGACAGCAGGATCAATCAATTGTTACTTTTTGTCTTTTCATGGGATTTGTTGATAAGAAAAAACAGAATATCACAGACGTATCCTTTAGCTCTACTGATAAACTTCTCTCACAGGTGATTCATAATGTATTTTAATTTTCTACACTGGAGAAAACATGCTTTGGAAAGTGCTTTAAAGTTTATGTAAAATGCAAAAACACTAGAATAGTCCTTTGCAGATGGATTTATTTGAATTTAGCTCACAAAAGATTTTCACTTGTCTCTTACATCTAAGGCATCTTTGAATCGGCATTTGAAAGGAGTGATAAAAATGAATATAAATTGTAATACATTTGATTTATGAAGCACTTTTTAGGATATTTAAAGATGCTTTACAGAGACCAACAACAGCAATCAAAAAAGAAAGAAGATGAAATAATCCACAGGGAGGTAGAGAGGGAAATAATGCAGAAAGGCAGTCGTAGGCAGTTTTGAAGAGGTCTGATTTGAGGGTTTTCTTGAAGGTGGAGAGTGAGGAGGAGTCTCTGGTGACTTTAGGGAGTGAGTACCAGAGGGTGGGAGCAGCAATGGAAAAGGCCCCCAAGGTGCGGTGGTTAGGGGCAGGAGGTTTGCATCAGCAGACCTTAGCGTGCACCACACTAACATTCTAGGGGCGGTAGTGCCTCAGCCCATAGGGACTTGGGTTGGGAAGTGGAGGTTTGCCAGTTCAACTCCCCATCAGCACCAAATATGGGGCGTGGACTGGTAGCTGGAGAGGTCCCAGTTTGTCTCCTGGGCACTATTAAAGTGCCATCAAGCAGGGTACTGACGCTCTAACTGCTCAGTGTCTGTCTGTGGGCAGCCCCCTTGCCCTGACGTCACTCCATTTAATGCATGTATAGGTCATATTTGTGCATGTGTGTATTGTGAGTGAAAAAAACTGAATTGAATTCCCCCTCAGGGATTAATGAAGTACATATCCTTCTTCGCTGTGTCACAAATATATTCTACAGCCTGATTTTAAGCAGATTTTTAGTATGTAGTGTGTTTTAGTGTGTTAGAAAAGCGACAAAATAAAGCACACTCCAACAAGGCTGCATGCAGACCTAATTGCACTTCACAAAGGAAACTGAGGAGCAGCTCATGGGGAAAAATGTATATTTGTGAAGTGTAATTGGCATCTATTTATATCTGCAAAGTTGCACTTCGATTAACAATAAAAGTATAAAAAGGTAAAGATGATTTTGTTGTATACTAACTGCTGAAACAATAAATTATAGTGCTGAATAGAACTAGAAATTTGGGACACAGAGCGTGTCTCCTTGTATTTTGTTGTTTCCATATTCCAACTTGTACCCAAACCTTCCCTAATCATGAATAATCAGTCCGTCCAGAGAGAAGACAACAGGCTGTTTACCAGTAAGACACCAAAGATTAGAGCATATTCTCCCGTGTGCAGCTTTGACTGGAGTTCTTCATGTTAACACACACACTGATCAGGCTGCACCATGCAGGGCACAAACTGGGAGAAACTGTTATTAAATCTCTCCGTCTCGTGCCCCAGTTCACTCTTTCATCTCACTTTCTCCTTCCTTTTTTCTGTCACTTCTGTGTTTCTCATGACAGACTCAGAAACAGGACAAACAAACCCCAGTGGCAGCGGTGGCGGCTCGGAGCCAGGACTGCTCATGTGGGTCGTCTCTGGCGGTGCAATCCTCCTTCTGGTCATCATAATTCTGCTGGTCGTGCTGTGGAGGAACCGTCACCGACGCTGTGTCCCAGATAGCCAGCAGTCCGCCTCCGTGTCCCTCAACACTTTGGCCGTGGCGAAGCGGGACAGCATTGGCAGCGACAACAACGGCTCGGACCGCAGCGATGTCGTGTTTCCTCTGCGGCCTTCTGACAGCATGCTCTGCCGCCATTATGAGCGTGTGAGCAGCGACTACGGGCCCCCTGTGTACATAGTTCAGGAGATAACGCCCCAGAGTCCCACCAACATCTACTACAAAGTCTAATGTTTGCTGCTCTAATGCCAGGCTTTGGCGGATAATCCTAAACTGTCGGAGACACACACACACAGCACCTCCACTGCTTTAGTGTTTTAACCTTTTAGTGGGTGTAAGGAAAAGTCACTTGAGGGATCATACATAGGCCTGGTCTGAGAGAACAGACCATATACTTCTCCTTGTTCTTGTGCCACAAGTGCACAAAATGCTGTTTTCTTCTGAAGAGACAGTCACAGAGGAAACTGATGTGTTGGAGGATGTCACTCAGCTGTGTTCAGTTTGTTTTGTGAAATACGTTTTGAAGCGTACAGCGAACACCAGTGGTTGGATGTGTATTTACTTAAGTACTGTACTAAGGTACAACTTTGAGATACTTTACAGAAGTATTTCCATTTCATGACACTTTATACTTCCACTCGGCTCCATTTCAGAGGGAAATATTGTGATTTTTACTCCGCTACATTTATACAGCAGCCACAGTTTAGACTTTACATACAAAACTTTAACAATATGATGCACTTCAAGAAATTACACTACACAACAGTCAACAAATCTGAGCTTAAACAATTAGTAGGGCTGCCCCCGACTAAGACTTTTCCTAATCAACCAACACTTGTCATTTAGGGCCATTAGACAACTAGTCGCCCGCACATTTCCGATATTACTTTGATTATTAAATGATATATTTTGGGTGGGGCAACACAATGGTTTGAGTTGAAGGTGTGAGAAAGAATAGTGTCAGTAACATTGTTAACACTGTGCTACATTACAGAGAAATACAAAACCGTACTAATGAACCTTCATTAATATAGGCCTATATTTTATCTACAAGTGCACGTCACACACTGAGCGAGCCGCCTGTTAATGACGCTGTCGGCAAAGCAGTAATGATTGTGCTAAGTGGCTAATGGGCATGTAGCTACTTCCATCTTTCAGATGATACGTCATGTTTGTAGTCGACCAATGAAGATGAGTTTACATATCACCTTGGGTTCGTCCTTCACCTTCTCAAAATGATCCCACACTTTGGATTTCCTGCCCGACATGTTATTAACTAGCCTGTGGAATAACCGCAGGTACCAGCCCTGGAAATTAACGTGACTCCTGTCTGACTGCTGAGCGTGGCCACTTCCTGTGTCCTTTCAAATTAAATTCCCACATGGTCCAGTCATATAGGTTTTGATTCATTTTGACAAGGTGCAGCTCCTCATAGAGTTCCACTTTCGTTTGTTGTTTGTTTTTTTTCTTCTGCGACTAAGCAACCAATGAAATCTTGTCGACCAATAATCTTTCTGGTCGACTAATATTTGGTCGACTGTCAGGGGGCACTAACAATTAGTTGATCAATCAGCTATTGTTTGATAACTGATTGATTAAGTAATTTTTCATGCATAAATGACAAACATTTTATAATTTCTGCTTCTCAGATTTGCTGCTTTGCTGAATCATTTTGAGGTTTGTTTGAACTTATGGATGGACAAAAGAAGACGTTTGAATTTGGAGCTTGGAAACTTGGAGCTGTAGTTGTGATGCATTTCTTACAATTTTCTTACATTTTACAAACCAAACAATACATGGCTTGATCAAGGAAATACTTGAGGGGGAATAATTATACGCACATCACATAGGCTTTAAAAAAATACATACATTCATACAATACATACATTAAGGAAAGAAGTAACACCTGCATAATTACTCCGTGCCGCAAAAGTTTTATCGCAACGTTTCAATCCAACAAGTATCTTCATCAGGTCAACTCACCCTTCGTTAAGCCCTTACCATATTTTTGGAAAAATGAAACAGTGATTGCAGAGAGAAGCAGACAGAGGGGTCAAACTGACTCAGCAGCAACAACAGGTTAAAAAGACAAAGATAGTTAGAAGCTAAAGCCGAACTATAGGCTACAGATCACAGTGTAAAAGTGAACCACCACATCACTGCTGATCGCCACAGAAGACAATGAATATAAAGGGAAACTTTGCTGATATTGAACCAGCTGTGTGTCATCACAGTGTGTGCAGATGAACGGTGTTTGGCTTCACTCCTGTGCCGCTGCCAGCACCCGGACCTCAGCTGCCAGATGGGCAGGGATCTCCGGGGGAAGTCAAACAACGTTCATCTGCGCACACTGTGATGACACACAGCTGGCTGAATATCAGCGAAGTTTCCCTGCTTCCCTTCACTGGTTCCTGTACAGCAGGGTCAGTCTTTGTTTCACTGTTATAATCATTAAAAAGCAAAAGCAGCATGTGTATACATTCAGTAAGCTATATCTTCAGTAGCTAGCTAACGTTAGCTAACCCTACACTTTGCAGGGTTTGATTTTGGTTTTGGAACAGGGAAGAAACGTATATCTTTTTCCAACCTCTCCAGGTAACAAGTATCATTAATACACGACGTGCCCCAGGCTCAACATTTAGCTCCAAATCCACAAAACCAGCCTGACAATGAAGGAAATCTGAAATTATTGCATTAGAGTCAATGGAGCACAGCTGTGTTGTTGTCGGACCCTGGTCTGAGCCGGCCTGATGCTACGTTATGATTGGCCAGTCTACGTTCAGGGGCGGGGCTTAGCAAAGGGTCAGTTTGACCTGATGAAGTTCAAGACAACGTTTTGTTCCAAGTAGGATCGAAACATCTTGATTAAACATTTGTGACATGGAGTAGGTGTGCAGATATTACTTCTTTTGATTAAGAAAATAACCATACACACTACTGTTTCTTTGTGTTGAGCTCCTTTACTTTTTACTTTTGATACTCAAAGTACATTTCCCTGACAATACTTTTACTTAACATTTTGAATACAGAACTTTATCAGTAAAGGTAATAGTATTTTTAAGTGGTGGTAGTGGTACTTGTACTTAAGTAAAGGATCTGAATACTTCCCGACAGGCAAACGCCAATTCGTTAATGTTTGTATATTTCAAACAAATCTGTTATTTCTCACTGCCACTGCACACAGCAGCTTAATTTGTACAGTAAATGTGTTTTATTTAATTTATTGATAAATCTAAAAAAAGAAAAAGAAAAGAAAAACAAGTGCACACTAACACAATTTTTTAATTATTGTGAATTTCTCACAATTGAATTGTGTAAACTTTATTTAAAATGTTTTTTGTGCTGCAGGCTGCTTTCATGTACACACTACTGGTTCTGTAAAACATGATTAATTTTAAACAATGTTCAATATGCAACCAGGAGGCTGTGCTTTAAAAGTGTAATGGAAACATGGGAAATGGTTTTGTTTCTTGTTAAAGATGTAAAAAAAACTGGACAACGTGTCAGTCGTCTCTACTTCAGTGTTTCTCTCTTTGCTTTCCGAAACCAACCAGAGCACAAGTGAAAATGACGGACACACGGAAAAAATGAACAGAATATAAAGGAGAAATGAAACTTTGAATTCAAGCCGACTGATAAATCACAACTTTCGCCGCGGTGACAAAATGACTAAGCAGAGCAGTGGGGGCAACATTAGCAGCGCCGCTATTTGCATTCTGTTAAGACCCCTGTTGTCTCACTCAGCATTAAAGCCTATTTCTGTTGCTACATTTTAGCTGTGGTTGATATGAAACTAACTTCAAACTCAAAACAGTTTTCTGAATAATTTTTGAGGTGCTGCTGCTCGGGGGAGCATGTCTGGTAATGATGCTCATGGGACAGTGACTGTCATTCTGCAGTCAACAGCACCATGATGAGTTTCTCTACATGGAAAAAAATACCACAAAATACAAAAAGTCTATGCATAAAAATCTCAGATGCTTTCCCTGGACGCTCATGTAGATGAACAGTTGCAGTGTCTTCATTGCAGGTGCAGTAAATGTGTGAAATCTGCCTGTAGCTCTACCAAACTTTGTGTAAAGGTGATGCCAACCTTCCTTCTTTTTTTTATAATAAAAGCTCTCAGCGTTTAATTGTCTGGCAGTGTCTCCTGTGGCTCAGAGCACGGCATCCATGGGTGAACATGTTTCATGCTCTTTCAGCCACATCATGCCGCACATTTTCAACCTGTCAGCCTCCATGAGCTTTCCCTCCACCAGGGACACTGTTGCCTCTGAAAGCCAGACTGCAGGATCTTCAGGACATGTGCTCTGTGCATCAAACAAGGAAACTGCTCATCTAAAATTAAACCTATACAGAGAGCGTGTTTTTTGTTGTTTTTTTTACACGACTTTCTTTCAGGTGAACATTGTGGTAAGTTATTCTCCACAATGCACTACTTTTCTTTCTGGCCTGTAGCCTGATGCGTAGGTTTATAATAAAGAGCTGCAGACGACAGGAGGCGTGGATGGCCTCATTCTTAACCTGCAGCAAAATGCAATTTCCCCTCCGGCGAGTGATGTATTTAATATCTGAGGGAAGAATTAGAAAATGTGTCAAAGATAACTTCATTACTACTTTCTATAATTGACTTTTTTAATAGACCGGTGTGTCTCGGCCAATTTAAACTGGATGCTTTCAATGGGGGAAACCATCCTGACTATACAATAAATTGTCCTCTAATAAATCAACACTGAAATTCAATTTTTGATCACTTTGTGTTCCCTCTACGTGGCTCTTGCTACTTTTTAAAAACAAAAAACCCCACAATATAACAAAAATGAGCTCCTGACTCCGAACCACTGCAGAGCGTGTTGGTTGTCCATGTGCGTGCGTGTGTGTGTGTGTGTGTGTCTTCCCACCCCCTCGCTTGAAGTGCTCTTGTGAGATGTTTTTGTCCTATGTGAAGCTTCACAGCTGAATGGGCCGTGGTCGGGCGAGGTGAGTTCAGTTGACCCCGGGGTCACGAGGAGACAATGGTGGCCTGGCTTGTATAGGATGAACAAAACAGAGACCCCCAGGCTCATGGCCCCTGTCGTGGGAGGGGCTTGGATACGGTAGGCCATTTTAGAAAATAGGGGCAGAAGTGTTGCTGCATCAGAAGAGACGTTTTGGGTTGCTTTAACATCACGAGTGCTGCCGGCTTGGTGTTTAAAGTCGCCTGTCTCACCTGTGAAGTTCTCTGCTGAGTTTGAAGAGCAAAAAAATGGTTTCATGCCTGTTTTTGTCGCTGTGTGTCCAAATAAAGGCGTTTCCTTTATCTTTACATATATAAAACATCATGCAAAGTGTCCAACAATGCGTCTGCAGCTGATCCCTCCAC